CCTCCTGCCTCTACCGCCAGAGTGCCACCAGGAGTGCAGGCTTGCACCGGCCCCCTTTGTTTATGCCATGATGAGGATGGAATCCAGGGCTTTGTGTACACTAAGCAAGTACTCTATAAGCCAAGCCAAGCCGTGTCCTTTAAATAGAGCTGTGCTTCTCAAGTGAGCATCAATAAGCACGGGTACAGCCAGCTACAGTGGCTCATTGTTGGCGCCATCTGTTGAAATAGGAGCGGCGGGGCTGCGTCCCCGGCACCCGGCTGCCCGCATGGCTAGCTTATGCCCCGAAATAATTACACGGAAACTGTATTCTTTCAAACACTGCCTGGCCCGGCTAGGTCCAGTTTCTTATTGGCTAGTTCTTACATATTGTTCTAACTCCTGACACCAAAAAAAAAAAAATAAAAAAAAAAGAAAAAAAGAAAAAGGGGAAATGATGTGGGAATGATTTCTTACTAATAAAAAAACTGCCTTGGCCCATTTTATTGGATAAAAAATTAGGTAGGCGGAGTATACAGAAGAGAATTCTGGGAGAAAGAAGGTTAGAGGAAGAGTCGCCATGATGCTCCCACTCCAGACAGACGCAGGTTAAGATCCTCTCTGGTAAGCCAGCTCATGGTCTACACAGAATATTAGAAATGGGTTAGAACAATATGTAAGAACTAGCCAATAAGAAACTGGACCTAGCCGGGCCAGGCAGTGTTTGAAAGAATACAGTTTCCGTGTAATTATTTCGGGGCATAAGCTAGCCATGCGGGCAGCCGGGTGCCGGGGACGCAGCCCCGCCGCTCCTATTTCAACAGCTCATGCCTGTAATCCCGGCTCCTGGGAGGTTAACACTGTATGAGACTGTATGAATCAACAACAAAATACAACAGTCAGACAGCACGGTAAGGGCACACCCACAGGAGGGGCTGTAACTTAAAACACTTATAGCAGGGGCTGCCACTCAAAGAGCCCACTCCTGCTGGGTACAGGGTTCCTACAACATGATACAACCCTAGTGTGGAATCTCGTGGGTAGTAAAGTACAGAGGCTCACGCTGATGCCCACAGCATGTTCTCAAGACTCCAAGCTAGACATGGGCCAAAGGTCCAAACCTGGTGCATGGGTAAACAAATGTGTGGGACCATGCAGAGCAGGCGCCTGAGGTCGCTGAGGACAAAACAATCCCAGATGACAGGGCAGCCAGGGAGCAGAGCAGGAGACAGGACCTCCCACAGCACACAGCCCAGAAGAACCCACAGTCTGGTGTGTAGAGTGATGAATCAGACTCTAAGATCCGTGAGTCCAAGCACTATGTGAGTCCACAGCCAATGGAATTCGGCTTCTCGCCACTGTCTAGCCACTCCCTCAAGACAAGTGATATGGCTCCCAGGCACTGTTATGAAGGCTAGCACCACATATCCCACACACAGGTGTGCGTCCAGTCACAAAGCCCGCCAGTTACTGTCTCACCCTGGCAGAGAGGGATTTGGGCAGTTTCCAGACCATAAAGTTCCCACGTTCCAGCCGGGCGGTGGTGGCGCACGCCTTTAATCCCAGTACTCGGGAGGCAGAGGCAGGCGGATCTCTGTGAGTTCGAGACCAGCCTTGGTCTACAGAGCTAGTTCCAGGACAGGCTCCAAAGCCACAGAGAAACCCTGTCTCGAAAAACCAAAAAAAAAAAAAAAAAAAGAAAGAAAGTTCCCAAGTTCCTCTGGATGATTTCCTAAGAAACCACAGGCTTCATGCCCACATGACGCACGTGACTTTCTAAAGGGCCACCGCCCAGTGACAAAGCCAGCAGCTCTGATGGCTGCCTTGTAGTCTGAGCCCTACCTGGCAGGACACACCATCGATGAGAAAGGCACCCCTGACCGGCTGGCCAGCCGTACACATCTTTGTGGTGTGTGCGTTCGTGAGTTCCATCTCCATCACTTGTAACAAAGTTTGTCACCTGCAGCTGTTCTGCTGTGTCTAAGATTTTTCCTGACCTTTAAGTCTTTAATTGGCAGAGGAAACAAATTCAGTCAAGACTCCCTAGATGGTTAATGCGCATGCCTGCAAAGCAAGCTCTTTACTATCACCCTTGCCCTAGCTGCAGCATAATCTCAGAAAGGAAGGAAGGAAAAAAGGAAGGGAGGGAGGGAGGGAGGGAAAGAGAGAGAGGGAGGAGAGCGAGCGAGCGAGCAATCAAGCAAGCATGATCTTGTTCCTTTCTCCAGTGACTGGTCACTATGCATCTGGCTAGACCAGTTCTGGTGAGAGACTGGTCTCCACATCTAAGCTACTGCCACCGGCCTTCACCAGCGTTCACAGTGTGATTGCAGGGAGGGAAGGTGGCATCTTCAGAGACACAGCCACCTCTTGGCTTGTCCCTGCTCAAATGGGTACCAGGCAAGTTAATGTGGCCCAGCCTGGGGTCCAGCCAACCCTTCCTGAGTGCAAATGCAGCTTTCTGGAAGAGGCCCATTGGGAAGAACTAAGGCGGAGACTGGGGCTTAGGCTCCAGGAAGCGCTTCCTAAAGCAGACAAGGACAAAACGCCTGTGGTCCAGGGCATCTAAGCGTAGGGAATTGCTGTGAACTCCAGCTCCCATCAAGGTCCACAAATATGCTGCCTGTGGGAATCCAGGAAGAGGGAGGCAGCAGGGCCAGCGCCTTCTCAGAACAGCAGTCAGGAAACGGGAACCAGTTCCAAGATGCCCAGTAGGGTGTTTGAACTCTCTCCCTATGCAGGGCATCAAAGGCCACCCACTTCTCCACAGCCCATGGTCAGACCAGGTTGTAAGCACGGGCTAGGGCAAGGTGTCCACACACTCCAGGCCTCGGCACCAGGACCCAGGGGGCCATGGCCCAAACAGGCAGCAGCTCCACGGGACCCAGAGCCCCAAGTGGAACTTGAGCTCCATGGAAACCGCTCCCCAAGGGGCAATGAAGTTCCCAGCACTTGGGGACACTTGGGCGGTCCTGGCTCAGGCACAGAGTGCTGAGCTGTGGGAAGTGGCTATGCAGGCCCTGGGAGCTCCTCACATGGACACTTCTGGGAGGAGAATGGAGTGGTCCAAGTAAGGACAGGGGCTTCTTCCTTCCCTGCCGCAGAATCCAGAGGTTCATTTGGAGCCACAGGGGGACAGGGCTGGAGCAGCATGGTACTTTTCCATGAGCCCCTGGGTGATGAGACTGTCGGGCTGCAGGCCTTGCGACCCAACCTTCTTCAACACTTAGATTCAGCTCGCCCTATTTCCTCTCTAAAAAATATCTCTCACACATCCTTCTGACAATTTCCTATGAGAGCCAAAGGAAGAGCTGTTTTTATCCAGACACCAGCATTCTTGGGCAGAGAAGGGCCTCATTCTGTATGCAAGACTGGCTTCCAGAAACATGAGGAGGAGATCGAAGGACCTAAGTCCCCAAGCTACAGTCCTAAGTCACAGAGGCCACAGTGCCTGCCAGCTGAGGACCGCACCCTGGAATCCCACTTCCTTTTAGCAGGAGTGTGGCTGACGACCCCTGTTGGTCAGTCCTCTGCTGGCCAGGCCACCAGAACGTCACTGCCTCATAGGCAGGCCTCCTCCAAAGACCCACGCAACAGCCCAGAGCTCTGCCTCCTGACACCTCCAGGCACCACGAAAGCAAACACAGCCTGTGGCTCTCCTGGAAACTCCAGGCTGTCAATCAGACCAGCATAAGAAAGACTCAAAGGAAGCATGCCCAGATCGCTTCCTGCTTTCTTCACAGAGAGAGAGACAGAGAGAAACACAAGGCTGAGGCAGTCCCTCTCAAACATTAGGTTCCCTGCAAGTGTGTGGACAGCGTGAGGAGGAAGGGCGGGGAGCCCAAGGTGGGGCTGTGCCGTTGAGCTGCTGCTCGCATGGGAAAGGCCCTGAGTTCTATCCCCAGCACAGTGGAACAGACAACGTCTTGCCAGGACTAACATCACACACCTATGATCCCAGCACTCAGGGGGCAGAGGCAATGGGACTGCACATTTGAGGCCTGCCTGAGCTACATAACACGAGAACAGAATCCCACAAAGCCCAGCCACACGGTCACATGTGCGTCTGACCAGGGCTTATTCCGTGTTAACTGACAACCCTGGAATAGTATCATCTGACGGTGTCTGGAGGGTAGTAAGCAACTAATTTTAAAGGTGAATTACCGCCAATGAACAAGTTTAATATCCAGAACTTTACAGGTAACGAAAAGATTTGAAAGGTTAAAATTTAAATGTATCTGTGGCCAGCAATATGGCTCAGCAGGTAAAGGAGCTTGTTGCCAAGCCTGATGACCCAAGTTCAATCCCATATTGGTTGAAAAAGAGAACAGAATTCCACAAATTGTCCTCTGATCTTAACACACGCACCATAAAGGTGCACACATGAATACATAAATAAATGTAAAAAAAAAACATAATTCAATGTATATGCAAACACATGGCAGATACATGTTATAGGGTGAAAAACAAACCCACACAACATTTAACATTGTTCATACCCTGTCTCAGTGAGTATTAAAGTCAATTGTTTGGGCCAGTAAGATGGCCCAGTGGGTAAAGGTGATCACCACCATCCCTAACAAACTGAGTTCTGTTCCTGGAACCCACACTGTGGAAGGAGAGAACTGACTCCCGAAACTGTCTTTTTGACCTCTAGTCAGGCACCATGAGTAACAGACATGATTAATACGAAGGATTCGGTTTGTTTTCTGGTGCTGGGGTAAAAGACAGGGTCTCCCACATGCTAGGCAAGTGCTCTACCACTGACCCACGGCCCAGCCTCTAGACCTGAGATTTTAGACAGAGTTCCTGGATCACACCCTACACACACATCAAGGAGAGAATCTCCCTGGGAGTGCAGTCAGGAGGCCCCGCCCTCCCAGGCCCTCCACCTGGTAAGGCTGGTCCATCACAGTCCGTAGTAAACATGGCACCCACACAGAGGCCAAATTTCTGTTTCCTAACAGCTCCAGTAAGCACTAAGCATGCCCGTGTGTGGCTGCTCCGCGCGAGTCACTTACCTTAAGGCTGGTCGCCTCCTTGCCCGGCCGGGCGTCAGATGCCTGCGGTGTCTCTTCTGATGATGTTATCTTTAGCTTTTTACTCTTCTTCTCTGTCCCTTTGGGACCTTTTCTCTTATGTTTTACCATCCTGGAAAGGACAGTGCAGGTGGGTCAATGGTAGGAAGGGAGAGGCCGCGTTCTACAATGGTTATGCTGTTAAACAGAGCAGCAAGGATACCTGCCCACTATACCACAAGAGGAAGCTTCACTAGAACACGCCACAGCACAAAAAAGAGAAGGAGAGAAAGAGAAGGAAAAAAGGAGGAGGATAAGCATAGTGGAAGAAATGATCTAGAAGGTGTGAACACTCCAGAGGACGAATCTGCAGGCATGTAACTGTGAGGCGGAGCTGGAGTGAACCCGCAGCCCAGACGGGTGGGCATCAGGGCATCCTGTCCCGACTGGGGCTGTCACTGACCATGGTGCATGGAAAGAATATTTCTATTCTAGGATCAGAAAACTCCAAGCTCTATTTTTTTTTAAATTAAACCTCCTCATTTAAAAAAAAAAAAGCGTATTCGAAGCCAGAGGCTACAAATTTCAATTAGCAGTATAATAAGAAATTGTAAAAGGAGAGACTGTTGACACAGGGACACTGAAAATAGGGGTGCCGCCACCAGCCAATTACCTCGTTAAAGAAATAAGAAAAGTTCAGCAAATATTTACACACCGCTTCGGAGAGAAGCGAGGTCTGCAGTCACCCTGGAAGTTAGCCTTACAAAGTTAATCACGAAGTCTATTTGTGAAGAAGGGGGAAAAGATGGCTCTGCATCACAAGGCTCTGAGAGAGAGCAACTCACAACTGAGGCAATGAGGAAAAAGCAGTCTTCTCACCCAGTGGGGGAGGATGCTGGAGAGCCAGGAGAAATGATGTGTATGAACCTCACAACATACACAGAGCTACCTCAGGATAGACCAAACACCACATGTAAAAGAGCCCAAGTCTAATACACTTTTCTTTTTTTAAAGACAGGGTATCACAATGTAGACCAGGCTGACCCTGAACACACAGAGATCCAACTGCTGCCTCTGCCTCCCGGGAGTGGTAATTAAAAGCAGGCACCACTTTAACAGGCCAGGCCTAAGACCGTCGGAATTTCCAGAGATGAACGCTGATGGCCCCGGAGAACACTGTGGTCTCTCCAATAAAATACCAGAAACTAGGTACCCAAAGGAAAACTACGCAGGATTACATCATCACTACAAAGTTCTGTCCTGGATTAGAGAGAGGCTCAGTGGTTAAGAGCTCGTGCAGAAAACCCAAGTTCAGTTCCCAGTACCAATATCAGGCAGCTCACAATTGCTTGTAACTCTAGATTCAGACCCAATACCTCTGGGCACATACACAATTAAAAATAGAATAGAAAGGGACTGGAGAGCCGGTTCAGCAGTCAAGAGCACTTACTGCTCTTGCAGAGGACCTGGGTTCAGTTCCCAGTACCCACATGGTGGCTCACAACTGCCTAGAACTCCAGTTCCAGGAGATCTGACTCTTCTTCTGACCTCCATGGAACCCTACACATGCATGGGACACAAACATACACTCCAGGTACACACACACACACACAAATTAATAAGCAATTCTTTAAAAAATTAAAATAACAAAACAAATGGTAAAAGCTTCTAACAATTGGGCAGTGCTAGAAAAAGGACAACTGAAAGCATGGAGGACATGCCTGCCAATCACTCTACAAGAAAAGAAATGGGGGGGGTCGCAATATGGCTCACCAGGTAGAGGCACTTGCCAACCGAAACTGACAACCTGAATTCCATCCCAGCCTAGCCTAACTGGTGAGTTCCAGGCCAGTGAGAAACCCTGTCATGAAAATACAAGGTGGATGGGGAACACCATCTAAGGTTGACCTCTGGCACACACACAGAGGCATGCATGTACACACGTACACATAAGCATATGCAGGTATACACATGCATATACAGGCACACACATACAGGCATGCACGCACATACATGCATGCATGCACATACACATAGGCACACACACACACACACACTAATTTTAGAATGGGCAAAGGCCTTGAACAGACACTGAAGAACTTCACTAGTCACTGAGACAATGAGAACCAGAGACACTGCTTCACGCAGCAACTAATATAAGAAGACGGCCAGGAGAAGACTCGGTGGGTAACAGCACCTGCCACGGAAGCTTGAGTACCTGAGTTTGATCCCTAGGATCTACATAACAATCTGGATGCCATGGTGTGCACCTGCCACAGTGACATGGGAGGGGGTGAAAGTAGAGGAAGCCCGGGGCACATGCTGGGCAGCAGAAACCAGAAGACTGTGCCTCAACAAGGTCAAGGAAGGAAATAGACTCCCTAAAGTTGCCTCTATGGTGCCCAAGACCACTAATATGTGATCTCTAGTCTAGAATCTGGGCTCCTAAGTCTGGGATTTCTATTCTGTCCTGTTATGTCCCAACGCCTTGAGTGACACCAATACATAAAAAGAACCCAAAGAATCCTTATTCTTTTTTTTTTTTTTTTTGGATTTTTCGAGACAAGGTTTCTCCGTAGCTTTTGGTTCCTGTCCTGGAACTAGCTCTTGTAGACCAGGCTGGCCTCGAACTCACAGAGATTTTTTTTCTGAACGAGAGTCTCATTTGGTAGAAAAGGTTGGATTGGAGCTGTCAGCAATTCTATCTAAGCCTCCGGGATGCTGAAATTACAACCATTTACCACCACACCCAATTTGTAAGGATGGATGAATGGAAGAACTGTTGGATGCATGGATAAATGGGTCTGTGGGTGGTTGAATGGGTGGGTGGGTAGATGGATAAGTAGGTGGAGGGGTAGGCAAATGGATGAGTGAATGGATGTATCCATAGGGGTGGGTAGGTAGGTGGGTGGCTGGCTGAATGGAGCTATGAGGATCCACGTCAAGGGCCGGGAAGATACGCATGGCCGGGACCAGGACGCCGTCTCCCCAGAGGCTCCGACCCCCCTGGCACCCGCAGACCACGCACCTGCAGCGTCCACTCTCGCCCGCCTCGGCCACGCGCTTTCACCACCAGCTCTGCAGGTTCCGCGCCGTCCCGCCCTCAGAAGAGTGGCGCTGTACATTGGACAGAATCCGCGTCGGACTTCCAGCCAGCCAATCGCCGCCTCACGGGAGGGAGCAGACCCGGCTCAAGATACTGGCGTCATCTTTCGGCGCTGAGGGAGCGGGCAGTTGCCGGGGCAACTCCTGGTGGCGTGGACACGTGCGCGCCGCTTTCAGGCCGCTGGTGCTGGGCGGTGCTGGTGGAAAGCGGCTTGTAAAAGCTTGTAAATCCGAGGGCAGCCAGGCTTGGAGGTGCACGCCTGTTGTCCCACCCCTAGGGGAGGGGGAAGCAGGAGGATTAGGAGTTCACGGCCATCCTACTCTACGCGGGGAGTTCAAATCCAGGCTAAATTTTATGAGACCCTGTTGTTGGGAGCATGCCTATATAATCCCAGCACCAAAGAGAGGAAGGCGGGAGGATCAGAAACTCGGGGTCATCCTGAGCTGTGTAAATGAATTATGGACCAACCTAGGATACATGATATCCTCCTGTCTCCAAAAACCAAAATAGGACCAGTGAGATGGTTCAGAGTTACGTGTTGTGAAGCTTGATTACCTTCGTTTGATGCCCAGGGCCCATATGGCAGAAGGAAAACCGACTCCGACCACTTGTCTTCTGACCTCCAACCATACACACAAAGCAAATAAAAACGTTTTAAAGATTGAGGAAAGACAAGCTGAAAAATAAAACCAAAAGGATAGGGTCCTTAGAATAGTGTGTGTGTGTGTGTGTGTGTGTGTGTGTGTGCGCGCGCGCGCGCGCGCGCGGACACACCATTTTAAAACAACGGTGCTGTGCATGACACATACACAAAACTAGTGAAGATGTACCCTAAAGTACTAGGGATAGCTGGTCATGGTATCACTGGCCTTTGATCCCAGCATTCAGGAGGCAGAGAGGTAAATGGATCTCGATGACTATGAAGCCAGCCTGGTCTACATAGTGAGTTCCAGGCCAGCCAAGGTTACATAGTCAGACCCTGTCTCTAAAGAAGGGTGGTGGTATAATCAGAAATGAAGCCCTTGTCAGTCCCCTGAATTCCCCCCAGCACCACAAATAATAGTAGTAAAGGGTTTTTTTTGTTTTGTTTCTTGAATTTCCGAGACAGGGTTTCTCTGTAGCTTTTGGTTCCTGTCCTGGAACTAGCTCTTGTAGACCAGGCTGGCCTCGAACTCACAGAGATCCACCCGCCTCTGCCTCCCGAGTGCTGGGATTAAAGGCGTGTGCCACCACCGCCTAGTAGTAGTTTTTACACTTTACCCAGGCCTGGTAGCATAGGGATACATGGACATCCCAGAAAATCAAAAAAGAAGAAAAGGGAGAGGCCTAGAGATATAGCTCAGTCTGTCAAGTGCTCCCTGAGTCTCATCTCCAGAACCCACATTAAATAAATAAATAAACAGCCGAGCAGTGGTGGAGTACACCTTTAATCCCAGCACTCGGGAGGTAGAGGCAGACGGATTTCTATGAGTTTGAGGCCAGCCTGGTCTACAGAGTGAGTTCCAGGACAGCCAAGGCTACACAGAGAAACCTTGTCTCGAAAAACCAAAAGTAAGTAAATAAATAAAGCCAGGCATGTTGGTGATATTGTAATTACAGCACTGGGGGAGGGAGGATCCTGGAGGCTCAGTGCCCAGAAGGGAAGGAAGAGAGGAGGAGAGGGGGCAAGATCAGTTCTATTCTGTGGGAACACAATGGTGACCTACCAGTAAAGTATGATGATGTAAGACTTTAAGACAATCCTGAAGCCATTTCTGACAATTCTGAATCCTCTCAGCCTCTGTGCCATAGTGCTTCCCCTCCCCCCCCTGGGAACCAAGGACCTAACAGCTACACTCACACGTACTCAGTTCCTGAATAATTACCCATATACGTATGCTTTGGTTCGGTCCCCTGGGAAACGGGGTCAAAATGACCTCTTACCTCATCTGATCTGGCAACAGCTCTCCAGTCAATTATTGGTAATAGCCCTTTCAAATAAGCCAATCAGAATAGTCAAAGAACAACCCCCCTTGCTTCTGTAGCCCCTTTAAAAGTAGACTGTACCCGCTATTCGAGGTCCCTTGGCTTCCCGAATGCTGGGGGACCCTGTCATGACAGAATTAATAAAATCCTCATGCTTTTGCATCGGCTGTGGTGTATGGTCTCTGGGGGCGACTCCTTCTCGGTGTTTGGACGCTAGAGTCCAACAATGAGGGCCATGAGCATAAGGGGAAGTAAGGAACGAACCCTGAACACAGCCTTCTCTTTAAGCCATGTTCTATGAAGGGTTATTTGATTCTAGAAGCCGGGAACCTGAAAAAGATTCAGACATTTGGGAGACCGGATTCTAGCACTGGGTCTTTTAGTTGGAGCCCAGAGAGGCTACCATGCAGGAGACAACCTGAACCAGTGATCCAGCCAGCCTTGCGGGGGCTGTGCAAAATACACCTGGGATTCACACCAGGTTCTGAAACTGTATCAGAGGATTTATTGCTGATACTTCTGCCCAACTGAGAGGAAACGGTTGTTTCTTTGCAAGGCAGAATAGAAAGAAGGGGAATTACCAAAACGTGAGAAAGGAAAGGAACTCCCTCCCCCGAGCATGCTTGATGCCTTCCACCAGCTGAGAAGCAAGAACTCGAGCCCATCTGGCATTTGCTGTGAAAGTGACCAACACAGAGATAATACTCCTTCTATATAAAGACATCTTATCTTAACATAGCCAGGAACCAGGCGTAGGGCTGCAGCTGTATGATCAAGAGTGGAACCTCGTTATCCTAGATATTTTCTGAGAATCTCAGACAAGACAGCTAACTTCCTTTGCTACGAAGATGCCCCAACATCCTGCATGCCCCAGAACTGGCATTTTACCTTGTCAATAGAAATCCCGCCAGATGCCACTCAGGCCCCACCCTGTGGATTTCCTTTGGGTTCCTTAGCAACCCTTGGAGCAGCAGTTCTCAACCTGTGGATCTCAACCCCCTTAGGGTCAAACAACCCTTCCACAAGGGTCACCTAAGACCATCAGAAAACACAGATATTTGCATTATGATTAATAACAGTAGCACAATTACAGTTATGAAATAGCAACAAAATAATTTCATGGTTGGGGGTCACTACAACATGAGGAACTGTATTAAAGGGTCGCAGCATTAGAAAGGTTGAGAACCTCTATCTTAGAGGGTCATAGCTTCGAACCCCACCAAAATAGTATGTCTGACTCATGAAGACAAGGGAAAGGCTGCTCCTTGAGAAGCCCACACCCATACTCTGTGGTCTCATTTTCTTCCTGATACATCTTTCTCTTAAAAGTCCATGCTAAGAATGTCATTTTGGAAGCCAGGCAAGGCAGCACATGCCTTTAATCCCTTGCACATGGAAGACGGAGGTAGGAGAACCTCTGTGAGTTTGAGAGGCCAACATTGTATACATAGCAAGTTCCAGGACACCCATTCTATATAAAGAGATTCTGTTTGTATTGGAGACAGGACTCACACCGTCCAGACTGTCTGCAAACCGGCTGTAGTGGAGGATGACCTTGGACTCCTGATCCTTCTGCCTCCACCTCCTGGTGCCAGGAGTTGCACTCAAGGCTTCATGCATGTTAGGTAAACACTCTACCAAGTTTTGTCCTCAGCCCATCCAGGTACCCAAACAGCAATCATTTCACAGACTGTCTTTCCCACTTCCTGTCTCTATACACACCCAAGGCCTTCTGAACTTTCTGTTCTGTTCTGCCTGGCTGTCTTTCTCATTTACATGTGTGTGTATGTGTTCCTGCTTGTGTGCCCATATGTGTATGGAGGCCAGAGGTCTTCGTTGCGTGTCCTCCTCTGTAGTGTGAATTCTAATTGGTCTTAATCGTAAAAACCCTGGGTCAGATATTGGGGGGGGGGGTGAAAGTTGAAAGATCAAAGAAGCAGAGCAGCCAGCCACTAGAAGTTACCTCTACAAATTCCTCAGACTGAATAGCAAGACCCTGTCTCTAGGAATCCTCAGACTGTGTGGGTCTGAGATCCTGTCTCCACCTCCCTAGTGCTGGGACTAAAGGCATGTGCCTCCCAAGTACTGGGATCAAAGGTGTGAGATCCCAAGTGCTGGAGTCAAAGGTGTCACCACCGCCTGGCCGCTATGGTTAGCTAGTGGCTAGCTCCACCCTCGGATCTCCAGTCAAGCTTTATTAGGGCACAAACAAAATATCACTACCCTTCTCTACCACTTTGCCATGTTACTTTTTGAGACAGGATCTCTCACTGAACCTGGAGCTTACAGATTCATCAAGGCTAGCTCTCCAGTGAGCAATCCTCCTGTCTCTCCAATGCTGGAACTACAAATGAGAACTTAAAAAGAAATAGAAAAACATGGATTCTGGGCATACAAACTCGGGTCCTCATCCCCACTCAGCAAGCACTTTACACAGTGGCAGCCTCTGACCCACGTTTACTTGTAATCTGAACGTAAGCACTGACTTCCTTACGTCCGGAAGCAAGCTCGCTGCTGGTATTTCTAACCAGGATCATCAGCCTTGCTGGGTAAACTAATTTAGGGAAAGCAATGGACTTTGTCAGGATGCCAGATCATCCAAATACGCTTTCCATCGATCTGCATCTGCTTCTTGTCCCCTCCAGACACCAAGTATCCCAGGCTAGCCTCACACTCACAATCCTGTGACCACGGGCGTGTGCTGCCACACCCTGCCTCTTGATCGTAGTCTGCAGAGGGGATGACGTGCCTGTCTCGGTTCCACGCCATAGAGGTCTTCTCTGGGCTTCACTAGGCGTAATGCTAAGTGCTCTAACTGGCTGCATAAATGGTGTTGTCCCTCGCATTCTATCTCCTGGTTACCATTTATGAGAATAAAAACTATTGATGGCTGGGTTGTTTTCTGTCCTTCTCTAATTGTTTGGGAGAGGGAACTGACATTTATGATCTCAAGTTCCACCTGTTCCTGTTCCACTGGGCACGTGTTTCTTTGTGCAGCCTGTGCTGTGTGTAAGCGTTTGCATCTGTGTATACATATGTGGCAATGCTTGTACATATTTGCACACACATG